ATTCGGGTTTGAGTGTGGGGTGCGGAGGTGTGGGTGTTACACTGTGGGGGTTTGTGTGTAGGTGTGTTTTGGTAGAGTGAGACGGGGGGGGGGGGGTAGGAAAGTGGGGGAGAGGGGGGCTTAAAGGGAGTAGAGACAGTCACTAGGGCCCCCGACATTAAAGGGAGTAGAGACAGTCACTAGGGCCCCCGACATTAAAGGGAGTAGAGACAGTCACTAGGGCCCCCGACATTAAAGGGAGTAGAGACAGTCACTAGGGCCCCCGACATTAAAGGGAGTAGAGACAGTCACTAGGGCCCCCGACATTAAAGGGAGTAGAGACAGTCACTAGGGCCCCCGACATTAAAGGGAGTAGAGACAGTCACTAGGGCCCGTAACATTAAAGGGAGTAGAGACAGTCACTAGGGCCCCCGACATTAAAGGGAGTAGAGACAGTCACTAGGGCCCCCGACACATATTTGATAAAGAAACTGTCTACCATGAATGAGCCTCGTTAGATTTTTAAATACATATGATATATGGATTTTTTTTACCCACTCCGAGGGGGCCTGGTAGCCTGGTGGATAGCGCGCAGGACTCGTAATTCTGTGGCGCGGGTTCGATTCCCGCACAAGGCAGAAACAAATGGGCAAAGTTTCTTTCACCCTGAATGCCCCTGTTACCTAGCAGTAAATAGGTACCTAGGAGTTAGTCAGCTGTCACGGGCTGCTTCCTGGGGGTGGAGGCCTGGTCGAGGACCGGGCCGCGGGGACACTAAAGCCCCGAAATCATCTCAAGATATATCTCAAGATAAGATATATCTCCGTACACCAGAGAGATGACCAAGAAAGAGGACCCCGCCAGTCAGCCTTCCTGCTCAGTACAAACTAGGCGAGTAATGACTGCTGTTCTTATGATGGGGTTGTCCTGGTACTGCAGGTTACCACGTGGTTGTCCTGGTACTGCAGGTTACCACGTGGTTGTCCTGGTACTGCAGGTTACCACGTGGTTGTCCTGGTACTGCAGGTTACTACGTGGTTGTCCTGGTACTGCAGGTTACCACGTGGTTGTCCTGGTACTGCAGGTTACCACGTGGTTGTCCCGGTACTGCAGGTTACCACGTGGTTGTCCCGGTACTGCAGGTTACCACGTCGTTGTCCTGGTACTGCAGGTTACCACGTCGTTGTCCTGGTACTGCAGGTTACCACGTCGTTGTCCTGGTACTGCAGGTTACCACGTGGTTGTCCTGGTACTGCAGGTTACCACGTGGTTGTCCTGGTACTGCAGGTTACCACGTGGTTGTCCTGGTACTGCAGGTTACCACGTCGTTGTCCTGGTACTGCAGGTTACCACGTGGTTGTCCTGGTACTGCAGGTTACTACGTCGTTGTCCTGGTACTGCAGGTTACCACGTGGTTGTCCTGGTACTGCAGGTTACCACGTCGTTGTCCTGGTACTGCAGGTTACCACGTGGTTGTCCTGGTACTGCAGGTTACCACGTGGTTGTCCTGGTACTGCAGGTTACCACGTCGTTGTCCTGGTACTGCAGGTTACCACGTCGTTGTCCTGGTACTGCAGGTTACCACAACGTTGTCCTGGTACTGCAGGTTACCACGTCGTTGTCCTGGTACTGCAGGTTACCACGTGGTTGTCCTGGTACTGCAGGTTACCACGTGGTTGTCCTGGTACTGCAGGTTACCACGTGGTTGTCCTGGTACTGCAGGTTACCACAACGTTGTCCTGGTACTGCAGGTTACCACGTCGTTGTCCTGGTACTGCAGGTTACCACGTCGTTGTCCTGGTACTGCAGGTTACCACGTGGTTGTCCTGGTACTGCAGGTTACCACGTGGTTGTCCTGGTACTGCAGGTTACCACGTCGTTGTTCCTATTTTTTCTGTCTTTGTCAACTAAGTGTCAGTCACTATGGAATACTTTTCATGAATTGCACCACACTTTGCCAGATCAATCACTATGGGTGCTCTAATAACGCTTCACAACCACTATTCTCTGTTATGCTACTCCAGACACTCACACCTGATCCTGACCCACTGCCCGCTGGTGGCATAGGTGTTGCCACTAGAACTTGCTATTTTTATTTGTTTATCTTATTGCACGCTATAAGAATTCACTATCATTCGCTGATCACTGCGTTGTTCTACACCGCATGTGACCATATATTATATTTTGGTCTCTATAACACTTTAATGTCCCAAGACACTCATGATAATTCGCGGACGCGCGACGACACGTCTCTTCAATGACTGACGACTGTCAATGGTCAGTTGAGGGTTGTCAGTCGTCATTTATTGTTAGTGTTCACTAGGTGACTCAGGGACCTTCAGCAGGTATGGCGCTGCTTTCATTTACCTGTCAGATCGAAATAACCACAGCCTGATGTCACCAGCAGAATCCCACAGGGTCCTGTATTCCGCCCTATCTTCTTTCTGATATACGTGAATGATCTTCCAGAAGGAATAGACTCGTTCCTCTCAATGTTTGCTGATGATGCTAACATTATGAGAAGGATAGGCAGAAGAGGACTGCAGAGGCTACAGGATGTCCTGGAAAGAATGAAGGAATGGTCCAACAAATGGCTACTAGAGTTTAATTCGAACAAGTGCAAAGTTATGAAGATAGGAGTAGGGAGCAGAAGGCGAAACACCAGGTACCAGCTGGGAGAAGAAATCCTTCAGAAGTTATGGAGAGAGAGACAGATCTAGGGGTTGATATCACACCATAACTGTCCCCTGAAGCCTACATCAAACGGATAACATCGGCGTATGCAAGGCTGGCAAACACAAGAACTACCTTCAGAAACTTGGGTAAGGAATCATTCAAAACCTTGTATACTTAATATGTCAGACTAATACTGGAATATGCGGGTCCAGCGTGGAGTCCACATCTAGTCAAACACTAAACGAAGCTAGAAAAGGTTCAGATATATGCCTCCAGGCTAGTCCCCGAGCTGAAGGGTATGGGGTTACGAGGAAAAATTACTGGAACTAAACCTCACAACAGGAAAACAAAATAGTTAAGGAAGACAAGATCACTACCTATAAAATTCTCAGAGGAATTGACTCGGTAGATAAACTGTTTAGCATGGGTGGTACGCGAACAAGGAGACACAGGTGGAAACTTAGAACTCAAATGAGCCACAGAGACGTTATAAAGAACTTTTTCCAGAGTCAGTAGTTAAGAGATGGAATGCATTAGGCAGTGATGTGGTGGAGACTGACTCCATACACAGTTTCAAATGTAGATACAGTATGATAGAGCCCAGTAGGCTCAGTAATCTGTACACCAGTTGATTGACAGTTGAGAGACGGGACCAAAGAGCCAGAGCTCAACTCCCCGCAAGCACAACAAGGCGAGCACTCGTGCTCCCTACGTGGCTAGTATTAGTAGCGCCGAGCGCGACCTCCCTCGCTGGCTCGTATCTGCTCTCACACTGCCAGTGTTCATATACATCGCGTCCTCGCTTCTCACACTTCCTCGCTCAGTGTCTCCATATCCTCAGGAACTTTGCAACTTAAATCTGCCATTCCCTGTACACTTGCCGCGTACTCTCAGCCACAGTGTATGTGTACTTCATGTGTATTTCTCTCATTAAGAGCGTGGCACAACTTGAAATCAATCTTCATGAAAGACATTTGAATTGTGGGGCGATAATGTATAGTGGAAGTGTCCGCCACGTATCTGGTGTAGAAGGCTGCCAGCGTCAGTGAGAGGGGGGGGGGGACTCACTCATACTTCCTTACTTCTCATTAACACCTTTAGTCAGTAAAATTAACTTTACCATACACGGTTGAGGAATTGATTTAGTTGATGAAATGTCATGAAAAGTTAATAATCAAACAAGGGACACATAAAGGCTAAGTGAATGTTGAGTATATGTGCACTAACCACCTGGCTTAACACTTGTAGTGATCACTTCGCAAATACAGTTTCCACGCAATCATTGGAGCAATTAACGAGATACATGGAGCCGTAATCAGGCGCCCGGGTGATCATCAGTTATCATGCAAACACATTGACATGTAATATCCCTGGACTTAGCATGTTAACTGGAACGATCTGACATGTTTTTTTTTTATGTTGGCTTCCACACGGTACTCTGAGTTTCCCTGGTGACAGAGGGCCTCCTGCTTGCTGGAGCTTCAGAGTACGAGGAAAGCACTCCTGTAACCTCAACTCCTGTAGTGCTCCTGTACAGGTGACCCAACCACTTGGGCTACACGGTAGGGAGACGGTCTCCCTTCATGCAGGTTGACGTTCAATCCCCTACCATCCAAGTGGTTTGGGAACCATTCCTTTCCCCCATCCTATCCCAATCCTTATACAGATCCCTTCCAAGTGCTATATAGTCGTAATTCCCTGAAGCTTTCCCCCTGATAGTTCTCTTTCCTTTCCCTTCCTGTACAGGTGTTAACTGGCGGAGTCGTTTGGAGTTACGTAAGATATCACGTGATATCTTGTTACTCACGTAAGATATCACGTTATATCTCACCTCGTAAGATATCGTATGATATGAGCACGAGTAGCTACCACGTGGTTACTCATGCTCAGTAATGTTGGTAAGTACTTACGTTAAGTGTATCTTCAGTCATTGAACTCATCCATCCTCGTTCTTGTGCCCATGGCGTGTACGGAGGGTGAACGGTTATGGCGATGTGCCTCAGCAACCCGTCCTCTTAAAATAACGTTGTTTTCCGCTCGTATGCGCGCCATGGCCAAAAATGACATAATTCGAAATGAAATCGGCTCACGAAAATAACGTAGAGTCCCGTTTTCTGTTTGAGTCGTCCGGCTTACTCAGTTAGGTTAGGAGAGCAAACTTTCCATTAACGCTTTAAATGATTATAAATTTAGGCAAACTTCTTGCCCTCCTAACATACCAGAGGATCCTCAACTTACTGTTTTGGAAAAAAAATTATTTTAAATTATTTTTCATTTTCAAATTACGTCTATTTTCGGTCATACGAGCAAACGGCCAAATTTAGACGTAATTTGTAAGAGGACAGATGGAGGCAGCAGGTGGATGGCAGTCACAGGAGCGGAAGGCAGCAGGTGGATGGCAGTCACAGGAGCGGAAGGGATGGCAGTCACAGGAGCGGAAGGCAGCAGGTGGATGGCAGTCACAGGAGCGGGAGGCAGCAGGTGGATGGCAGTCACAGGAGCGGAAGGCAGCAGGTGGATGGCAGTCACAGGAGCGGGAGGCAGCAGGTGGACGGCAGTCACAGGAGCGGAAGGCAGCAGGTGGATGGCAGTCACAGGAGCGGGAGGCAGCAGGTGGATGGCAGTCACAGGAGCGAAAGCCAGCAGGTGGATGGCAGTCACAGGAGCGGGAGGCAGCAGGTGGACGGCAGTCACAGGAGCGGAAGGCAGCAGGTGGATGGCAGTCACAGGAGCGGGAGGCAGCAGGTGGATGGCAGTCACAGGAGCGGAAGCCAGCAGGTGGATGGCAGTCACAGGAGCGGAAGGCAGCATGGCAGTCACAGGAGCGGGAGGCAGCAGGTGGATGGCAGTCACAGGAGCGGGAGGCAGCAGGTGGATGGCAGTCACAGGAGCGGAAGGCAGCAGGTGGATGGCAGTCACAGGAGCGGAAGGCAGCAGGTGGATGGCAGTCACAGGAGCGGAAGGCAGCAGGTGGATGGCAGTCACAGGAGTCACGGAGCGGGAGGCAGCAGGCAGTCACAGGAGCGGAAGGCAGCAGGTGGATGGCAGTCACAGGAGCGGGAGGCAGATGGCAGTCACAGGAGCGGAAGGCAGCAGGTGGATGGCAGCAGTCACAGGAGCGGAAGGCAGCAGGTGGATGGCAGTCACAGGAGCGGAAGGCAGCAGGTGGATGGCAGTCACAGGAGCGGGAGGCAGCAGGTGGATGGCAGTCACAGGAGCGGGAGGCAGCAGGTGGATGGCAGTCACAGGAGCGGAAGGCAGCAGGTGGATGGCAGTCACAGGAGCGGAAGGAAGCAGGTGGATGGCAGTCACAGGAGCGGGAGGCAGCAGGTGGATGGCAGTCACAGGAGCGGGAGGCAGCAGGTGGACAGCAGTCACAGGAGCGGAAGGCAGCAGGTGGATGGCAGTCACAGGAGCGGAAGGCAGCAGGTGGACGGCAGTCACAGGAGCGGAAGGCAGCAGGTGGATGGCAGTCACAGGAGCGGAAGGCAGCAGGTGGATGGCAGTCACAGGAGCGGAAGGCAGCAGGTGGATGGCAGTCACAGGAGCGGGAGGCAGCAGGTGGATGGCAGTCACAGGAGCGGGAGGCAGCAGGTGGACGGCAGTCACAGGAGCGGAAGGCAGCAGGTGGATGGCAGTCACAGGAGCGGAAGGCAGCAGGTGGATGGCAGTCACAGGAGCGGAAGGCAGCAGGTGGATGGCAGTCACAGGAGCGGGAGGCAGCAGGTGGACGGCAGTCACAGGAGCGGGAGGCAGCAGGTGGATGGCAGTCACAGGAGCGGGAGGCAGCAGGTGGACGGCAGTCACAGGAGCGGGAGGCAGCGAGTCTTCCACATCCCTTAACTGCACTTGATAATTTTGTCGACCCTTCTCTTGAGTCCAAAACTTTCAGTACAAAACCTATTGACAAATACCTTCAGTGTTGTTTATTATAACTATTCCTGAACAACCTGATAGTTACCAGAATAGTCGCGTCCAAATGGTGGAGTGTGTGATGTATCGCTCAAGGTCATCCTCACGTGACAACCTGCAGGATAAAGTTTTCCTGGCGGAGGCGACTACGCTGTGTACAGGAGGGGTTATCTTCTTGTTGTTATCTTGAGATGATTTCAGGGTTTAGCGTCCCCGCGGTCCGGTTCCCGAACAGGCCTTTTTTTTGTTATACATCCCCAGGCAGCCCGTAGCAGCTGTCTAACTCCCAGGTACTTAATTACAGCTAAGTGAAGAGAGCATCAGGTTGAAAGAAACTGCCCATATGGTTCCGAAGCTTGCTACACTGCGGGCAAGCATCCCAACGGTCACAAATGCAAGCCAATCAGGAAGCAGGGATTTAAAGGCCTCTCTGTGATTTGGCGGTGCACCGCTCCTTGTTATTGTAGCCAGCGACGCAAAGAGGGTCACACGATGGCCACACGACGGCCACACAATGACCACACGACGGCCACACAATGGCCACACGATGGCCACACAATGGCCACACGACGGCCACACAATGGCCACACGATGGCCACACAATGGCCACACGATGGCCACACAATGGCCACACGACGGCCACACAATGGCCACACGATGGCCACACAGTGGCCACACGATGGCCACACAATGGCCACACAATGACCACACGACGGCCACACAATGGCCACACGACGGCCACACGACGACCACACGACGGCCACACAATGACCACACGACGGCCACACAATGGCCACACGACGGCCACACAATGACCACACGACGGCCACACGACGACCACACGACGGCCACACAATGACCACACGACGGCCACACAATGGCCACACGACGGCCACACGACGACCACACGACGGCCACACAATGACCACACGACGGCCACACAATGGCCACACGATGGCCACACGATGGCCACACGAAGGCCACACGATGGCCACACGATGGCCACACGACGGCCACACGAGGACCAAACAAGTAAGAAACACGACGGCGACACAAGATAGCAACACGACGGCCACACAATATAGCAACACGAAGGCCACACAATATAGCAACACGAAGGCCACACAATATAGCAACACGAAGGCCACACAATATAGCAACACGAAGGCCACACAATATAGCAACACGAAGGCCACACAATATAGCAACACAAGAGAGCCACACGAGGTTCACACGAGGACAACATGAGGGCCACACAAGAAAGCAACATACGGCCACGACTATACTTCCGTATAGTCGTGGCAGCTTTGACCCCACGACCCCTCCGTGGGGTCAAAGCTGCCAGCAAGGTGTCATAAGCAACCCTACGCTTTATACTTGGATCTCTTGAGCTGAGGGCTTCGATCTGACACAGATATGGGCCATGTCCGACCACGAGGGCTGTATGGACCCGTCGGGCCACCTTGCTCACCATATGGTCCTCGCCCAGGGAGAGGGCACAGCTGGAGGAAACATCCCCTCACATTAGTGAAGGGTAAACACCTGTCTAGCACTCACGTGTTCTTATGGCCGTCGACCTCAGTTTACTGATCAGGGAACATGTATACTTCACCATTGAAAATAGTCCAGGTCTAAAGTAAACTCAGTATACACCGAGGGGTTTGGTCATCACCTGTGGTACATGATAATATATTTCACAGTTTATTTTACTACGGACAATAATTAAAATATAAACATTAATTTTGCCTCGATAACATATTCTAATATTAATAAATGTCCCCAGCAAGTCCACTGATATAATCAGGAAACTTTAAAATACAAATATATATTCAATACAAAAGTTTTATCCTACACTTTAGTGGCTGAGTCCGTGACTCTTAACGCCAGGGTCCGTGACTCTCAACTCCAGGGTCTGAGACTCTTAACTCTAGGGTCTGTGACTCTCAACGCTATGATCCGTGACTCTTAACGCCAGGGACTTTGACTCTTAACGCCAGGGTCCGTGACTCTTAACACCGGGGTCCGTGACTTTTAACGCCAGGGTCCGTGACTCTTAACACCGGGGTCCGTGACTCTTAACGCCAGGGTTTGTGACTCTTAACGCCAGGGTCCGTGACTCTTAACGCCAGGGTCTTTGACTCTTAACGCCAGGGTCTTTGACTCTTAACGCCAGGGTCTTTGACTCTTAACGCCAGGGTCCGTGACTCTTAACACCGGGGTCCGTGACTTTTAACGCCAGGGTCCGTGACTCTTAACGCAAGTGTCTTTGACTCTTAACGCCAGGGTCCGTGACTCTTAACACCGGGGTCCGTGACTTTTAACGCCAGGGTCCGTGACTCTTATAGCCAGGGTCTGTGACTCTTAACGCCAGGGTTTGTGACTCTTAACGCCAGGGTCTTTGACTCTTATAGCCAGGGTCTGTGACTCTTAACGCCAGGGTCTGTGACTCTTAACGCCAGGGTTTGTGACTCTTAACGCCAGGGTCTTTGACTCTTATAGCCAGGGTCTGTGACTCTTAACGCCAGGGTCTGTGACTCTTAACGCCAGGGTCTGTGACTCTTAACGCCAGGGTCTGTGACTCTTAACGCCAGGGTCTGTGACTCTTAACATCGGGGTCCGTGACTTTTAACGCCAGGGTCCGTGACTCTTAACGCCCGGTCTGTGACTCTTAACGCCAGGGTTAGTGACTCTTAACGCCAGGGTCTTTGACTCTTATAGCCAGGGTCTGTGACTCTTAACGCCAGGGTTTGTGACTCTTAACGCCAGGGTCTTTGACTCTTATAGCCAGGGTCTGTGACTCTTAACGCCAGGGTCTGTGACTCTTAACGCCAGGGTTTGTGACTCTTAACGCCAGGGTCTTTGACTCTTATAGCCAGGGTCTGTGACTCTTAACGCCAGGGTCTGTGACTCTTAACGCCAGGGTCTGTGACTCTTAACGCCAGGGTCTGTGACTCTTAACGCCAGGGTCTGTGACTCTTAACGCAAGGGTCCGTGACTCTTAACGCCAGGGTCAGGTTATCTTGAGGTTATCTTGAGATGATTTCGGGGCTTTAGTGTCCCCGCGGCCCGGTCCTCGACCAGGCCTCCACCCCCAGGAAGCAGCCCGTGACAGCTGACTAACACCAAGGTACCTATTTTTACTGCTAGGTAACAGGGGCATAGGGTGAAAGAAACTCTGCCCATTGTTTCTCGCCGGCGCCCGGGATCGAACCCGGGACTACAGGATCACAAGTCCAGTGTGCTGTCCGCTCGGCCGACCGGCTCCCTAACGCCAGGGAGGGAGCCGGAGGGAGGTCTGTAACAACAGGGTCCGTGACTCTTAATGCCAGGGTCCGTGATTCTTAACGCCAGGGTCCGTGACTGTTAATGCCAGGGTATATGACTCTTAACGCAAGGGTTTGTGACTCTCAACTCCAGGGTCTGAGACTCTTAACGCCAGGGTCCGTGACTCTCAACTCCAGGGTCTGAGACTCTTAACGCCAGGGTCCATGACTCTTAACGCTAGGGTCCGTGACTCTTAACGCTAGGATCCGTGACACTTAACGCCAGGATTTGTGACTCTCAACGCCAGGGTCAGTGACTCTTAACTCCAGGGTCTGAGACTCTTAACGCCAGGGTCCGTGACTCTTAACGCCAGGGTCTGTGACTTTTACCTCAAGGGTCTGTGACTCTTAACGCCAGGGTCTGTGACTCTTAACGCCAGGGTTTGTGACTCTCAACGCCAGGGTCTGTGACTCTTAACGCCAGGGTCCGTGACTCTTAACGCCAGGGTCCGTGACTCTTAACGACAGGGTCCGTGACTCTTAACGACACGGTCCGTGACTCTTAACGCCAGGGTCCGTGACTCTTAACGCCAGGGTCCGTGACTCTTAACGCCAGGGTCCGTGACTCTTAACGCCAGGGTCCGTGACTCTTAATGACAGGGTCCGTGACTCTTAACGACAGGGTCCGTGACACTTAACGTCAGGGTCTGTGACTCTTAACGCAAGGGTTTGTGACTCTCAACTCCAGGGTCTGAGACTCTTAACGCCAGGGTCCGTGACTCTTAACGCTAGGGTCCGTGACTCTTAACGCTAGGATCCGTGACACTTAACGCCAGGATTTGTGACTCTCAACGCCAGGGTCAGTGACTCTTAACTCCAGGGTCTGAGACTCTTAACGCCAGGGTCCGTGACTCTTAACGCCAGGGTCTGTGACTTTTACCTCAAGGGTCTGTGACTCTTAACGACAGGGTCCGTGACTCTTAACGACACGGTCCGTGACTCTTAACGCAAGGGTCTTTGACTCTTAATGCCAGGGTCCGTGGCTCTTAACGCCAGGGTAGTAAGGTAAATAGAGACGTAGACCGTGCGCTACACCTGCAGCAGGTGTGCAATTGCACACCTGAAGCTGGTAAATGCGTTGTCTACATCTCCGGGAGGTTCTGGGGAGCCCCCGGGGGCGCTGCTTGGTGTCGCGGAGAGTGGCTGGGCACGCTGAGTGTCTCGTAGTGGGGTTGTGTGTCGCTGGGGTAGAAGTGTAAGTATATGGCCATGTGTGCATGTTGAGTAGTTGTAAGATGAAAGTTTATGAGTATATATCGTAGAGTTAAGCATGTGAAGAAATATATATTTATATAAATAGAAATGGAAATGTTCGTTTGTGCGTAACTGCTAATCTCCGAAAGTTCTTCACTGATTGCTTTGAATTTCACACAACGTTCCATTTGCATCCGAGTAGGTTTGTATATACATGCTATAAAGATGTCACGTTTGTGACGGTAAAAAAACATGCTTTTTCTGAAAACTGTGTTTTTCATGTGTTTTTCATGTGAGGGAAATCTTCGAAACCTCTTTACTCATTGCTTTGAAATTTTGACACAACGTTGCAATCGAATAGGCGCGTCTTTTTATATTCCTACAATATATATGCAACCCTCTGTGACAGGTAAAAACATGCGGTTTTGAAAAAACAGCGCCATCTGTTGCACATAATAGCAACATGCACGCTATACTAAATATGTCACAAATTCCTTTTCAATGTT